GCAAAAACAGTTAGAGCGATACGGCAGAAAGCATAGTGCGTCCAACTTGCAGACGAACTTGCAGCGAGACGTCCGAAATACGCGCGAGGGAACGCCTATTGTGAGACACTCCTCACGCGGTGCGAACAATCAGACATCGCGCATTCTTTGATAACTTTCAGTAAGCACGAATCGATATAAGCCCATGTACTTAGGCACGAAAACTGATGGGAATGTGTTTTCATTCCGCAAAGAAAACGTTTTCGAACCGCAAGTTCAAGACACGTTCCACGAGTGCCGGATGGGTGGGGCTACGGACTACAACTCAGTTCTTGAACGTGTCGAATTTGTGCTTTTCTCTGCTCTCCCTCGTCCGCGTGGCATTCCATGGTCACTTCGCACATTCCAGCTTTTCACGCACGCTCACCCCGCAGGAGGGAAAAACTCACCCATGCGCGTATGCGGCTTTCTCGCAGGTCTCGATGCTTTCTCGATTTCGCAACAGGACCATGCGCAGGATGTCACGTAACTGCAGGATGTCGCGATTCAAGATGTCACGTAACCCTGAATGGGTGGAATCTGTTCCTTGTAAAAGATGCAGTATATTCTGATGGGCGCGCGTCAAGGGGATTGGTTTGCTATAAAGGGATAAAGGATAAGCCTTGGCCCTTCAATCCCTTTGTGGGACGTGCCACACATTCTACTTCTATTCAGGGTCGAAGTGGCTTATTGAGTGAATGTCACCTATAAAATGAATTGCAGAGGCCAGCCGATGTACAAATCAGTGTCCTTAACCTCCCAGACGAATCTGGTACCAATTCCCGTCCCGGAGGATAGAAGGCCTGGGCGGGAGTCGACCCGGGATTTGAACCCAGGCGCCGCGCGAGTGGTAAGCGCGCCACTTGTCACTACACCACCTCCTCCTCTGGTTTGGCATAGCCCGTTTTTCCCTTCTTTTTATTTCGGCAAGCAACTAGCCTGCATCATATGGTTCGTGCCAGTTGTTTTCCACCGATTGTTATCGCTTATTCTCTTCAAAAGGTGGATAAGAACGTGCTGGCGGCGCGCCAAACGCAGCTTCACTAACATACCCTATCATCCGCAGCGAACTAGACTTTAGGTCGGCCCGCATTTGCAGAGGCTACACCAACTAATGGGCTAGAAAGTGAGTAACGAGAGGAGTGAGGCCGTTTTACCATGGTAACCCGACCTCCAAATTGGTCCCACCCAGAAATGCATTGCATTGCGATACATGCGAGGAATCGCAGTCACTTCTGCGCGGGACCGTGCCTGTCAATTCCTTCGCCCTCCTGCTCTCTCGCCATGTTTCTCTGATTTTGAGCCCTCGATTGATAGCCTCTTTGCCTCTCTTCCCCTTCCACAGCTGGCCATCAAATGAAAAAGAAGCGAACTTTCTTAGCAGGCTTTGATTTTGCCTGTTTTTTCACTGATAGCCGAATCAGCACCGACAAGTTCATGCTTGAACCCGTGACGTGCAATCGCGGAACCTGTCTTTAAATGACCCCTCTCAAAAATCGATTCGTGCTTCGGAAATAAGTAAGTCCCACGATGTTCCACCAGGCCAAACATTTTGTTCCCATGACTCCGCTGGGAGGACGCAAGGTGGGAAGTACTTGTTTTTGAGCAGCTCCAGAGTCGTTAGAACAAAGTGTTTGGTGGTAACCAAGCGCATTATGGACGGTCATTTATCCTACAAAGTTTCGGATCTGCTCGACGCATTCGGCAAATGTCGTGCCCTGGTCGCAGAAGAGGTCCGACACATCCTCCTTGTCTTGTGACAGTCGAATCTAAGCATTGCCTCGTCTCATACTCAACAATACATTGAAACATCTATAAATAAACAGACGAAAACAGTGAGGTAGAGGTTGTACGTGAAGTGAGGAAGCTTGCCGATGGTCTCGAGCAAGCTGTCGACATCATGGTAGGAATAGCAGGAAGGATGGAAGGAAAGTGAAATCGAGGTAGAACATTCTCGGAACAAAACGTTGTTATCACTGAATAAATGAACCTGTTGTGACTGCGGCACTTCGAGTTCCAGTAGATCCATATTGTTGTAGTTCTGCTTGTGTGACTCTCGTGGTGGGGGATCGCGCCTACAACGATTTTTCGTTAGTGGAAAGAACCTTAGAAAAGAGCACTTCAGCACATCGCATTAGTTCTGCTTGTCGCCATTGGAATCCATTAATTGCTAGGAACCATTGGAGCTCAGAACTTATGAATTTATCCTTGCGCATTTCTTTACCTTTTCTAACAGCGTATTCTACCGTTATGCATTTAAGTTTGTGTTAGCTAAGTGAAAATTTGATGCAAGATTCCATCTCTTCAATGATGCCCACTGAGTGACCATATAGCATAAAATGCTGCATTTCAGTGTCAGATGAGCGTACAAAACCCATGTGGGAGAACTGAGGACAACCCACTCCATGTGCTAGGTGAATAGGTGAAGGGTAACAGTAACATGCCACTTTCTCCGCTCGAGGGACTGGAACTGGAGGAGGAGGCATGCTGTCTTCGAAGGCTGCGCTGCCGCTCGGCCCAGCCTATTATGGGGCCGAACACAATAACCTGAACGCGCGACCTTGTCGCAGCCGCCATTCTGATTTTGGTTCTCCTAAACATCCAACTACGCTGTTCGATGCGGGCAAACGTACTCCCGCAGTCTTGAAAGGATACGGGTGAGCTTTAGGAGGCCGCCACTCGGCATCATGACGAACCCTCGCTGCTCCATTCCTCGTGCCCATTCCTCTGAACGCAGCGCGCGGAAAGTGGCACTCTACTGTTGTTAAATTCATCCACTTCACACATGGAAAAGATTCGGCAGATGAGTGTATATTTGTCTTTGCGAGGGCCCAAACTTTTCTGATCATACTTGATGATGTCCGGAATAATAGAGTAAATATTACCCGTCAAAGAAACGTTAAAGTTACATATGAACTAACGATTGGTCGAAGTTGTGGATGGAACATAATGAAGCCATTCTGATCGAGCATGAAGAAGTAGCTGCGCCCGCCGATCTGAAAAAAAAGACATGCAAATCGAGGGCTAAAGAAGCTGCTCTACACTTCAAGGCAGTTGACCGGATGTTTATCAACTCGGCCCACTGGCTAGTAGGCGCCTAGTGTACGTGGGGGAAATGGGGCAAAAGAACAGGGAGTGAAAACGGTCAAATATCCGGCCAAAGAAAGCCTCCGTTTTCAGTGACTTAGAAAGTGCACTTGATTTTGATCAGTTTCCCGGTACCGATCTTACCAATCATCCGCATTAACGAAAATACGGCTGCCATGTTTGTACCGATATATGCATGCAGCATCACGACCGCTTCATGCCACTCCCTTCGCCTTAATAATTTGCTTGCACGTGAATGAATACGAGCGTCAGAAACGGTCGTCCGTTTGTGGGCGGGCGGGCGAGGAAGGCGTTTGGGACGGAATGTTGTTGCTCGATAGGGCGTTATAGGGGTACCCTCCTTGGGAAAAGGCGCCACGGAGCGCACTTTGAGGTCACAGAATTCTTGTTATGCCAGTCGTATGGTGACGGTTTCGGTGGACCGTCTAGTTGGACAGCAGCCCTTGCGTTAGCCGTGCTCGCGATAGCATCATGCACCTTTTCATGGCATATTTAAAATCTTCACTCTGAGCCTTCAGAGCGTCACATCTACCACGGCATTCGCGAATCATAATATAGTGTAGTTCGGTGGGTACGGTTTGGGCTGCTGGCGGACGGGCTTGACGCGCTGCCAAACCGTTCTCCACCAGTTGTTAAAGCGAGCAAATGACATGACTGTATCATATCGTTCGTATTACTCGTTTTCTACCACTTTTTGTCGCATGCGCGCTTCAACAAGAAGGCAGAGAACGGCTTTGACGGGGTGACACACTCATACTGCCTGACACGCCCAACCTCCCCAACCTCCCGCAACGAACTAGAACGTAGCTTTTCTACATCAAGAAAATTACACTTACTTGTATTTTTGTGATGTCCATTTCTACATTCTTCATTTCTACAGTTCTTTCGACAGAATGAAAAATTACATCTCTAGCGGAACCCATCATGATTTACACACTGCCGTTCAGGGAAAAAGGGAACCAGACCATCGCCAAGTATCGAAGATATCTTCCTTCACCAGCACGGGTGGTGACCCATAAGCCTTGTGCTCTCCCAAAGGTGCGCCCCACCTTATACGGCGAAGAAGCGCGCCAATGAAATAAACACACTGCTGTGAGTATCTGCCCATCTTTCGGTCCAGCTCTTTACCGCAGAATGTGTCTTCAAAGCCTGCACCCTGGACCTTCTCTGTATGTTTCATAGTCAGGGTCAAATGGTATACGATTACCGCCTTAATATGTAGTTCATATGGAAAGCTGCTTACATTGCTAGGATGCGCTTGCTGATTAAGCTCAGTGAGTGGAGTGTTAACGGCAGCGACTCCCATAAATGTTCGATTGACAATCACGGGAAATGAAACAGTGGTGACGAACATCCGACCACGAGCTTCTGTTTTTTGAAGACGAATTTTCTGGAAAACGAAATGAAATTTCAGTTTTGCAACTCCTAGCTCCAATACACTTTTGAGACTCACTCGACGAGCTGCCATCTTGTTCATGATCGCGTACTGAAATAAGAATGGATTACATCACTGTAAGAAGGATAGGAATTATGCACGAGAGACGGTTATAGCTAGAAAAAGGGAACCGTCAAGGCATAGGTTCTTCCGTTTATTGAAGCTTTCGGAGCTCCAATATCCAACACATGTGGAATTATTGTGAAGAGTAAGTCCGAGCTAGCCATTTCAACTTCCTTTCAGACTTCTTTCACTGCTACGATGACTCACGACAAAAGACCTTTCTCTTTACAAAAGATTTATATGTGGTAGATAAAAACATAGATATTTCGGCGTTGGCAAACCTCTTCCTGGGATGGACCTAAGACAAGAGCCCGGAAGTATAGGGACTTTAGGTATAAATGGGTTGGTCGAAGCAGTGTTCACTTCATGTGCACTTCACTTTTTCCAAGGATCAATCTTTAGATCCCTACCCCCCCCTACCCAGTAGGCGTTTGATCGTTTGACTATTTGATCGCTTGTTAACAGATTTTTCTGGTAGGGTAGAAACACTAACTACACTGGCTGGAAGTCGCTGCAAAGGCAGTGCAGCATTCAAAGTGTTACTATAATTCCGAATGGAAATAAATGCGTGGCGCATCTCAAAAAGGCTAACTTCATCTTTTCTCATTTCTGCCAACCATCACCCACTATATATAGTTTGCTTCGTCTGTTTGTTGTTTGTTTGTTTGTTTGTTCGTCTGTCTGTCTGTCTGTCCGGAAATTCGGTTCTACCAGAAGAACAACTTGGAGAGCTGGGGTCAAGGTGGGGATGGGTAGGGCATGGAGCAAGATGTAAATAGCAGCTGTGAACCCATACTAAGCCCCGCCTACAGTGGGCGGGGCATGCGCCGAAATTTGGCGGAGC